TATGCAACCGATGTCCATGGAGAATCTGTTGAGAATTCTACCCTCGGGATTCGAGTCAAAGAACAACACAGGTGCTTGTAGAACAGCCACCACCATTTTGTCATGAAGTCTTTCAGAACATCTCAAGCTCACCAACAAGAACACAGCTGCTCTTATGTAGACAAAAATGACTGAAGCACTGAACAAGCAACCATAAATGATAAGTGTGCTTTGGTGTCCCTGCTCTTCTGGTGGTTTCTTCACCAAAAACGCCAGCCACACATTAGGAGCCACAAGAATTCCTGGAAAGAACGTAGTGATTCAGTAACTCAAAATTATATCGCGTGAAGTTAAAAATGGGAGAATCAGTGAAAGCCAAAACGAATAATCTTGATGCAATGCACACTACTTTGGCGTGAAGAAATATTTGAAGAAATCAAGTATCACCACTCACGCAATCACAAAACATGTTTTGCCCTAGAAGATAATTAGGTGTAAAGCTGCACTCTTCAATAAACATGAACTTGCTTTTTTGGAAGACAAAACTGACTGAACTGGCTTACCTTGGGAAATCAGAAGGAAACAAATTGTTACAATAATCGATAAAGTACTAATCCCGCTTCTAAAGTAGTTCCAGTAAAGCTTGGATGACATATTTCCACTGTTTCGATCCTCTTCAGAAATATCCAAGTCCTTTTCCCCATCGGTTGGTTGTGCCACTCCACCGTCTCCCTTCGTGATCTTTTCCATGTTACCGCTGGCGGACTTCATTTCTTTCGAAACCTTGTGAAACACAGTTCCATTGCTGCCGTTTACAATACATCTTTCTTGAAGCTCCGAAAACTTTCCCTTTCCAAGAACTCGACCTCGGCGCAGCGCAATCACTTGGTCGGCTTCTTTCAAGTGTTCCTCTTGGTGAGCAGCTATCAATCGTGTTTTGTTGCCTAAAAGCCCCTTGATGCAGTTTTTCACTATATGTTGGCCAACTTTCGAATCCACTGCACTTAGAGGATCGTCTAACAAATACAAATCTACATCTAAGTATACTGCCCGTGCCAAACTAATCCTTGCACGCTGACCTCCACTTAGGGTGACACCGCGCTCTCCAACATATGTTTGGTCCCCGTTCGGAAACTTCCGAATGTCTTCAGTGAGGGCGCAAACCTCAGTTGTCCTAACGTACCTGATTTCATCGTATGGCTGACCGAATAGAATGTTTTCACGAACAGTTCCAGAGAAAACCCAAGCTGTCTGGGGTACATAGACGAACGTTCCATTAAAAGAAATTGTTCCACTCACATTTGACAACTCGCCAGCGATTGCCGAAAGAAGGGTAGATTTTCCGCTGCCAACTGGTCCAGTTACCGCTGTGAAACTGTTTAGCACGGTGTCGAACTCCACATCTTGTAAGATGAATGTGTCCTTCCTTTTCGTTTGTTTGTGCGTTAAACTTGAGACATGCAGATTTCCCTGTGGTTCACTGTAATTTCGGCTGTTAGTATTTTTATCATACGTGGCTTCTGTAAAATCAACTAGATTATTTGACGGGTTCTCTAGAATGTCTGGGCTTCTTTCTACATACTCTTTCTTCTCGTTTAACCGGTAAGAGGCAGTCAAAGGCAGGTTCTCTAAAAGAAGGTAGTCTTCTATCCTACTGAGGGAGACGTACGCTTCATTTGTTTTCAAGAAACCCTGGGCTAATTCAGAGCAGACGCTACGCTTGAGGATATTAACGTAAGATAGGATCAGGAAGACACTGCTGGGCGTGAGGGGCTGACCAGTTAATATCAGAGAGATGACAGACAGCAGGGTTGCTATTGGTGCAGAAGTGTACTCCAGAGTTGCAATACAGGACAGGACTGAAGTGTTCCTACGGATGATGCCAATTTCTTTTCTGTAGAGTAAAACGTGAGTATGCTCCATGTTAGTACAAATGATTGACAGATGTCAGGGAAAATGAATTTTTTAATGTACCAGCCGGACTCAAAGTTTTTTGATTGGTAAACGACATCTGATCGGAATGAGCTGACACAGGAACATTGCTAAAGATGTTGGTCGAATATCGAAACACCCTACGGTTGAGTCAAAGAAACCTTGCCTAATCTAGCGTCATAACTATTCCCAAACGTTTCGGTTGCGAGGGCCATAAATTAAGAAAAGGAGGATTTTGGATGGCTGGTGGCCGAAGAGGGTTGTTATAATGTTGCATCGACGATTGCGAGTTGGTCAGTGTTGACAATCAACCCTCAGTGATATCCCTTTAGTGTCAAGTGTAGGTCAAAGATGTGCTGAAGAAAATTTTCCAAAACTCACACTTTTTAGCGCTTTAGCTATAGTAAATATCCATATTTAGAATGTCGTTGGAACTANTATTTCTATTTTTTCATGCGCGGGATCAATGCGGGCAATCCCGAGTGGGCAAGATGGGCCCATCCTGCCCGCTCGGGTAGCTAATCAGAACACAGGATTCGCTTCATCTCGCCCGCGGGCACTGCGAGCTATGTAATAAGAATGCTTCATACTCTCCATCTTCTTCTCACTTAGCTTTCGAAACTAAGAGTTATGAACCCTTTGCCATTACTCCTGGTGGTTCCAAAGGAACAGCGAGGTTAGGTTTCGCCTTATTTCGTCTTATTTCGTTATTATTTTCCTTATTCTTCGTCAACCTCAAAACGCAGTCACGTGGTCAGACTACTGAATCACGTGATTAACAGCTGTCACGTGACATCGACATCGTGCTTTAGTCGGCAGTCGCTTCACTTCGCTTTGCTTTTCACTGTTTTAAATAAGATATGGACTCATTGTCTTTAAATACGCTCAAATCGCTCACAAATCCATACACCGTTTGCGGTACCCCGCAATTTCTTCGAAGCATTTGCAAGGCTATTTCATCTATAAAAGGAAGCCCAAGTTCACGCAGATATGCGTCTAGTTTGCAAATATTATGCTCTCTTGACGACGTAAACTATAATTATAAGGAATCTCATGTTCAATCAGTTGTGCGTCTAGTTTATTCAGTTATTAAATACGCCAAACGATTCCCAGATCCTCTAAGTTGAATTATAATATCAACTGTGTAAAAATTGGAAGCAAGCATTTTGTCTCTATGTTTAAGGCATTTTGTATTTCTCAAGGACGAAGGTTGAAATGTAATACTAAAGCTAGTCGTTATACGGCTTTGTTTTCAGTCTTGTAATAGACCGATGTCTTTTTTTAAGCTCAATGCTGTAACCTTATTCCGAGTTCTAGATATACAGTATCTCGGCTTTAGTTGTGCCACTTAAATTTATATTCTATGAAGATCTGCACACTTGAAACCAAAGAAATGACGACAAGACCACACAAATTTGATTGATATAAAAATTAAAGATTTTATTAAAGAGAACCGCGAGGTCACGCAGGCATGCGTCTAGTCTGAAAATGATTTAATCATTGCTTAATATTCTTCCGGTTTAACCCATCTTCATTTGAAACGCTGCAACGTTTATATCATGAGAAGGTCACCCTAGCTCAAGAAAATTTGACACTGTTAGTAGATCGCAGGACATTTATATGTAAAAAGTTGATAGCGGACGGATATGAGGAATGAGAGCTCCCCTATATCCTTCTTATAATTAGCTCCGCAAGTTATGACAAGATCCATCTCATATCAGTTAAAATATGGAAATACTTAAAGTGCACCTACACTCAAAAAATTTTTTTCGGTTAACGAAGTAAGCTTATTTTTTTGAGTATTTCTGCGCAAAAATTTTTTTATTTGCTCAAATCTTCAATTTTCTATGCCCAGTCAAAATACGGAAAATCGGCCGCCATCTTGCCCCACGACCGAGTTTAAAGAAGAATGGCTCTAGCGGGTAATGTGACGTCAAATCGAGAACACGAAAGTCTGCATCTCACACATTTTCACTTGTTTGGGAAGATTGTCGTCGATAT